AGCAGAACCAGGCTCAGGGAGGGGCGGGGCCATCTGCTGTGATTGGTTGGGGTGAGAGAAGGAAGACAGGATAAAGACATGCTGTGGAAGAGAGACATTCCAACCGGTGAATCCCTGATTCCCAGTCCCCCGTTACCTAAAGGAGGACTGTACTCTCCCCTTCCTGTGCATGAACATCTCTTACACTTGCCTGTTGATCATGCTTTGGTGACCTCTAAAAGGAGCAGCTGAAATAATAAGAATAAGCAGCAGACATCTTGAACTATAGCATATTTTATAATGGATTAGAATAATTTACAAATAGTGCCCTTAAAAGTACTACTTTTGAGTTCTTTTATGATACCCCTTCTCTTTCCAGGCCTCTAACCTGCACCCAGCTGACCCGGATGGGAAGGCGGACCCTTACATTGTTCTACGACTTGGCAAAAATGAAATCAAAGACAGAGACAACTACATTCCCAAACAGCTAAACCCTGTTTTTGGAAGGTAAATAACTGGTGAAACTTCTCAGGAATTGTCTCACATTTTAAATATGACTTCTTCTATTCTCCTTCTTCCAGATCTTTTGAGATGCAGGCAACACTTCCCCAGGAGTCTCTGCTGTCAGTGTTCATCTATGACCACGACCTGGTGGGAGGGGACGATCTCATTGGAGAGACCCACGTTGACCTTGAGAACCGATATTACAGCAAACACAGAGGCACCTGTGGACTCCCTGCTGAGTATAGTCTGTAAGCCTGGACGTTTGAACTCTTTCAGATCAAAGTCCGAGTTATTTATTCCATTTGGTCACTTCAATAAATTACTATCCTACCTCATAGTTACATTACTTTTTTTCTATTACATTAAACTACCAAATTCAACTAAAGGAGTAGAAATTCCAGGCATTTATATCCATCTACAACCATCGCACTGAAGCATTTCCTGTTCTTTCCTTGTTGTCTGGCAGTGAGGGTTACAATGCCTGGAGAGACTGTTTGAAGCCATCAGAGCTGTTGGCAAAGATGTGCAGAGAGAGCGGTTTGTACGGTCCTCACTTCAGTCCAGGACGCATCATCGTGTCAGATAAAGTCTTCACTGGCAAAACGCTCTTCATGCATGAAGGTAGATATAGGACATTCTAGATCTGCTGCATGATTATTTTTTTAACTTAACATTTGGAAACAGTATTCAGACATTTACTGCATGAGTCCACGTGATACCTTTTAATCAGGTGCAACTCCATCTTTGTAGTCCAAAGCACTTGTCTGTCAGTATGAGTAGGAAAAGCGCTATGTAAAATGTAAGTACAACACAATGTGAGTACAGTTGCATAAGTAACTAGAAAGTGCATTTTATGGAGAAACTGCAGTGTGAATGCTTGAATCTGAATGTATGCACTGAAATGAATTAATTGCTGAATTTTAAGTTAAAAATGTTGAATGAGATAAAAAATACAGAAATTTTCACCTGAAAACAAAAGTGCTGAACTGCTAAAAGCTGACATTCACACAGAAGAAGTTGGAAAATAGCTGAAAATGTTTTAATTGTAAATTAGAAAAACCTAAGAAATGAGAAAAGGAAATTTAGAGTCAGAAAACATCTGAATGAATATTAAAAGTTCATACTCTTTGAATCACTGAATGACTAAAATGTGATCCCTCCACTTGGATCCACACAGTTTAAAAAGTTTACATCTCTGAGCTTTTAAAGACACGGTGTTGGACAGAGAACAACAATGGCTATGATTTGAGGGTAAAATGATGGCTGTAGAGCAAACACTGTGGACACAGCAGCAGTTGAAAGTGAAGACTTTAAGATGAATCTTGGCAGAGTGAGAGAGAGCTCGTTAGGCAGGCAGGTGTGAGCCTGGTTGCTATAGTGACTGCACCCAATGGCTCCATACACACGCACACAGACATGCGCCTCACTTTTGCTCCTTAAAATGAACAGAAAAGTCAGACCGAAACAAATCCTTCCCAAATGAAAAGTACAGGTCGTATTGACAAAATTCTTTCACCATGACCACCAGCAATGTCCAGTCTACCAAATTCTCAGTTTTCATGCCTGTGGAGTTTATTATATGGACGTGGTGACAGTGTAAAGACAGCCTGTACTTCTGATTTTCAAAAGAACTTTCTGAGCCATTTTAACATTAGAGTCTATGGAAGAGTTGGAGGGAGGAGGCTGTGCATTGGTGACATTTATGAAAGAACCATAACACCTATTACAATAATAAACACATTGGATGAAAGAGGACAGCGATGGCTACGTTTTGAGGGTAAAATCATATCTGTAGAGCAAACGCTGTGGACACAGCAGCAGTTTAAAGAGAAGATTTCAAGATAAATTTTTTTGCTCCTCTCACTCTAGCAGTTGAGCTGTCTCACTCTAGCCCCAACATTCCGTCCCATACACACCCATTATAAACTCTGAAACGGCTGAAAAAACAGCATGAAAGATAGTATAGATCAAGAAAATATGCTGGAGCTAGAACATGTATATAGGAGTCTGATTTGACATTGTCTTGTGTATCTCTCAGACGAGCCAGTGGAGTCCTATGAACACTTGTCACTGAAGATCCTACACCGCTGGGCTGAGATCCCAGGTGTAGGATGCACACTGGTACCAGAGCACATTGAGACCAGAACTCTGTTTAATAAGGCCCGGCCTGGAATGGACCAGGTATGTTTGAGTTTAGTATCCTGGTAAAAAATAATCGTTTTTCATGCATTTACAACCTTTAAGCTTTCTGGGTTTTCTGGGTCAAATGTCTAATTAAAATGCTTATTTTAATATGGTAAAGTAAATTTACTGGGCTGTACTTCATTTCACACCAGTTGTATGAAAAGTTTTCTTTCATTAACTGCCTACATTTGTGTGCACGTACATGTAGGGTCAGGTCCAGATGTGGATAGACATGTTTCCAATGGACCTGCCACATCCAGGACCTCCAGTGGACATTTCACCTCGAAAACCAAAAGGGTGAGACTTACCAAAAACGTAATAAACGTTGTCTGTCAACGTTGTTTTGGGATGCGGTCATTCAAACTCAGATGTGTTTGTGCAGATACGAGCTGCGTATTATCATCTGGAACACAGAGGACGTCATTTTGGAGGACAGCCACTTCCTCACTGGTCAACAGTTCAGTGATATTTACATCAAGGGGTAAAAAAAATCGATTTGTTCCTGGTATTTTTTGGCAATATAAATATCTTTTTAGCTTTGGAAATAATAATTCTCAAACTAAAGTGACGTTTGCTGTCTGTTGTGTAAGCTTCTGTTAGCTATCTCTGTTAGCGAGTTAACGTGTGAGGGCTGCACTGTGTCAACACGTTAGCGCCTTGCAGCCCAAATAGCTAAACTAGCTAGCTAAACCTTTATATAAAAAGCACTGCTAGAAAATCACTCACCTTACCAAATCGACTGTTGTAGCTGGCTGAAAGGTTTAGAAGATGACCGACAAGAAACTGATGTGCATTACAACTCTCTGACTGGAGAAGGAAACTTCAACTGGCGCTTCGTGTTCCCCTTCAGCTACCTGCCTGCTGAAAAGGTACTTGTGTGATCGTTGGTCCTAGGAGCTCCGGCTCCAGGCCTGATGTAGATAAAATAGCTGCTACAGAATCACATTGTTACCAACTTTACCTCTGACAGGTAGTGGTGGTGAGGAAAAGAGAGAGTATTTTCTCTCTAGATAAAACCGAGCAGAAGATTCCTGCTATCCTCATTCTGCAGGTCTGGGACTTTGAGACACTCTCCTCTGACGACTTTCTAGGTGGGTATGCATAAGTGCCTATTCACACATTTCACTGATGAACATAAAATACTAAGGTGATACAGGGGTTAGCACTGTTGCGTCACAAAAAAGGTCCTGAGTTTGACTTCACTATGCTAAATGGACTGGTTATTAGACAGATAAGAGAGAAGAGCCTGCAGTAAGGCTCAAGGCCGCAAAAAGGCTGAAAGTTGCGAGTCTCCCTGTGGTCGTCACAAAGCACCTCCCACACAGACTCAAAACAATCTTCTAGAGCCTCCTCGCTCTCCTCCGACCATCTCTGCACTGTGCGGGTGGCTGGTGGCTCCCTGTGCACCAGGTTGTGATCAGATCTCTCCAGGGGTGGGAGAGGTGATAAACTGTATGCCTCTTTTGTGTTGGCATACAGTAAGTCCAATGTTTTATTGTCTCTGGTGGGCCATGTCACATACTGGGTGAAGGTGGGCAGTGCTGAGTCCAGTGATGCATGAATATTAGTGATGTGCGGATCGATCCTGAAATATCGTTTCCTCCGATACCAGTCATTTATGTTCTAGAATCGATTCTCACATTAAAATATCGATATTTTAGTAATTTAGGGTAAATTTGTAGTTTATCATTAACAGGAACACAGTGGAAAGAAACTATAACATTCGGATTGTCTACATTCAAAGGAACTACTTCTTCTTCTGCCTTTCATAGTCATGTGCGAAATACGGCTGTGTAAACGTCTTGCAACCCCTTGGCATGCGCACTGACAACAATGGCTGAGCGTAATCCGGTCGTTAAGTGTGACGTCACTAGCCGTGTCTACGCCTAAACTCCGCTGCAGGTCCATATATCAAACGATCACTATGGCATTACTGAGAGTTGAAAAACTGTCTAAAGTCTTTCATCTTTAATAAAATGATCAGCGTTCTGCTCTACCAGGTGTAACAATTGAGTTTAACATCCATGAAAACGGAATTTATGACATTTA